AACGAACTCTGCCCGAGATTCGGTCACGCTCGATCCCCAATTTTCGGAAGGGGCAACGGAGGAGCGTCACCGAATTCGAGCTCTCGCAGGTACACACCGTGGAGTGTCCTGTGAGTCGATCGTACCTTTAAGTGCTCCGGAAAATGGGTCAGTGTCTCGGAAGAGACACTATGACGACTTTCTCCGTGAGCGGTCACGATCGTTGGTCCTTTAATTTAGGTCAGGGAACTTAATCCCTATTACCTGGGAGTGGACCTGTGCGATCTAACGAGAATGGATCAGGGAATACGAGAAAAAGGGTTTAAGAATTTAAGCGATTTTTATATTTTAAAATTAAATTTCTAATACATTTATTTATTACTATTACAAAATATATAAGGAACATTACACGTGATAAAATAAATGAAAATAAAAAGGTGAATAGACATTACACAAATCTTATTAAACTAAAATTTACAAATAGCATGTGTGTGTTCGTGTGTGTGGGACGGGAGAAGAGAGAGGGAGAGAAAGAGGAATTAGGAGGGGTTTCCTTGACAGGAACAAGGGACGACGGGGCGGATGGCGTCCAGCCGTACGAAAAAGGGGATGGAGATTCCTGGAAAGTACATTACAATTTCGGAATCGGGGGAAACGGTGGTAATAACAGGGGGAGTTAGAGTTTGCTCAAGGAAGGAGGTGGTGATGGGAGGAGGGAGAGTCTGCTCGAGAGGAAAGAAATTCTGCTCGGAAGGGAAGAAAGTCTGCTCGGAAGGAAAGAAAGTCTGCTCGGAAAAGGAGGGGGTAACGAGGGAAGGTGAGTGTAGTTCCGTGAACGGAGGAGGAGTGGGAATCTCGTGCACGGAAGGGAATCTCTCATGCATAGGGAGAGGAGAAATTGAGGGGGAATCAATTAGAGGCGGGAATTTGGAGAGATGTAATGGGAATTCTGAGGAGTCGACGGGGGAGTAGGAGGGTTCGGGATATTGTACGTGTGTTGTGGTAGTGTATGTTTGTGTCGCGGAGAGAAACGGCGGAGAAACTATTACGGAGGGGCGCCATGTGGTATTAACAAGGAGAGACGGCGGCGTAGTGTTTGCGGGGAGCGGCGGTGTGGTACTTTCGGGCATCGGAAGTTGCCCAGGCCGCGGATTCTGGCGGGGGTCCTTAATATAAGGGCCTCTGGAGCGAGGCTCCCTAGTCGCACCTCGAGTGCGCACTAAAATTGGAGCGGTTAATAATTATAAAAAATTTTTGGAGTTGCGTGTACATTATACGTATACTCTTATTAAGGAAGGGGAAGGGATAAGGAAGGGAACGGCAACGGCTTACTTGTATAACCGAAGAAAAGATGGCGGCGGTCAGTCCCTCACGGTGCAAAAGGCTTCAGAGGGGCCTCGGAGGCGCACGGTCGTCGTGGGTGGTCCTAGTGGACTTCGAAAGCCACGGAGACGCACGGTCGGTCGTGGGTGCTCCTGGTGGACGTCGACGACCTCGGAGGCGCACAGCGGTAGACGGGCCGTGAGTGGGCCTTGGTGGGCTGTCTCTAACCGAACACCAGATCTTGGTCAGTTGACTCGGGCAATGCCTCGGACAACTGACTTCCGATCAAAGAGGTGACTTGAGCGAGCAAAAAGGGAAACCGGGCCAGTCAACTCGGGCTTATCGCCTCGGAAAACTGACACGGTGGACTGATGATTAGAACTGTCTCTGTGCGCTTCCGAGGGCCTCTATTTATACCCCAAAAGGGCGGATTTTTCCTTTGTCTGAAATTGTTGCAACGCTAGCAACTTGTGACATGATTTACGATTTTTCTTAACTTTTATCATTGCTGATGTTAGCGTTTTTTCCCTTTGTTTCAGTGATAAAGATTTTACGATTTTTCTTAATTTTTATCATTGCTGATGTTAGCGTTTTTTTCCTTTTGTTTCGGTGATAAAGATTTTACGATTTTTCTTAACTTTTATCATTGCTGATGTTAGCGTTTTTTCCTTTTGTTTCAGTGATAAAGATTTTACGATTTTTCTTGGGTCTTATCATAGTTGTCGTTATCGTGTAATTGTACTTAGAAATGTACGGTTCAGCAATTTTAATCTCTGCTATTTTCCCTTTTGATTTGAGTGACATTTACGAGTCTCCCAGCGCATGGAGTGCACTTAGGCTCTATTATCAGATATCTGCGCTCGGGCCTGTCTCGTAAATCTTACTCTAGATATGACACTGACCAACCCTTTGAAAGAAAAGAATTGTGAAGTCTACAGGACGTAACACTTCGTTTGAATTACTTCAGCGATTGGCGCCTCAAGCGATTCTCTTTTTATTCTTTACCTTCAGAATTGCTTCAGCGACCGGCGCCTCAAGCGATTCACTGTTTTTCCTTTACTTTCAGAGTTGCTTCAGCGACCAGCGCCTCAAGCAATTCACTCTTTTTCCTTTACTTTCAGAATTGCTTCAGCGACCGATGCCTCAAGCGATTCTCTCTTTAAGAATTGCTTCAGCGATCAGCGCCTCAAGCGATTCACTCTTTTCCTTTTACTTTCAAAATTGCTTCAGCGACCGACGCCTCAAGCGATTCTCTCTTTAAAAATTGCTTCAGCGACCGGCGCCTTAAGCGATTCACTCTTTTCCCTTTACTTTCAGAATTGCTTCAGCGACCGGCGCACGGCGCCTCAAGCGATTCACTCTTTTTCCTTTACTTTCAGAATTGCTTCAGCAACCGGCGCCTCAAGCGATTCTCTCTTTCAGAATTGCTTCAGCGACCGACACCTCAAGCGATTCACTCTTTCATTCTTTCTCTTCTATTTCATCACTCTCTCTCTCCTCTCTCTCCCTCTCTCTCCCTCCCTCCCTCTCTCTCCCTCCCTTCCTCTCTCCCCCTCTCTCCCTCTCCCTCTCTCCTTGGATTCTTCTTTTCCTGCCTAAATTTCCCTAATGAGAGATTTTCAGTAGAGATGTTCAGTAGTTGGTTTGGCGTAATAAGCATCGTGCGGAACGGAGGAAGCGGGCGAGGATAAAGAAATTAAAGGCAAATAACTTCCTCCCAATAGCAAAAGTCCAGACCGGGACCTTCCTGAAGGAAGCAGCTCGCCAAGATTCATTCTCAATTAACTCTTGGACAACAATTCACTTACTATAAAAGGTAATTATCGACTACCAACGCTATACCAGTTATAGACTTGACCGACGGTGACGAGACTCCTCCCCTACCCGATTTAACTTCACTTTCTCTCCCTCCTCTTACCCCTATCTCCTATTCCGCCGTCCCTTTTGAAGGAGATATTCATCATAATGAATTATATCGCGAAGAATACCTCGATGCCGAAATGTCCCTTCCCTCACCACATTATCCACACACATTCACATTTGCACAATTACCGAGACATACACCGTTACATTAGATTAATGCATAGAAAAATTAAGAAAATTTCCGAATATACATATAATAATTGTAATATACATATACATATATATATATATATATATATTTAATAAGAATGTTTAAAGTATTCTATTTCCTTTAATTAATTTCTAAAAATATAAAACAATTGTAATAAATAGCTTACAAGAATGTTAAATTATTTTATTATATGTTTGATATATAGAAAAATAATAAACCCTCTTGTTATGTAATTACTGAAAATCGCTGTAGTTCATTAAGAAAATCTACGTCTCATTCCTCATCCTACTAGACCGCACGGTCCGATCCCTGATCAAAAGGATTAAGTTCTTTGATCTGAAAAGGGGACCGACAGAGACACAATCGCAGACCGGGTAATAGCGTCACATGTTGACGTTGACCCATATCTGTGACCTAATGCGTCTCTGACTTGTGGCACGCGTTTTGAAGCGATAGCCACAAGAACGGTGTCGGTTGCGTCCTCCCATGCCCCCTCCTCAACTCTTGAATTTTCGTATGTAATAAAAGAATCCTGGGGCCTGGACGTAACAATATATACATATATATTATTTAAACATTAATATTTTCAACTTAGCATACTTATATGTCTATAACTATTTCTGAATATGAGGTGTGTGTGAGTGTATGTGCAGTTGTTCTAGAGAGGGGAAGGAAATATCAGTGTCGAGGAGATCTTCTACGGAGTTGTAGAGTTCATTATGAGAGATATCTCCCTCAGCAGGGACGGGAGAATAAGAAATAGGGGTTGGAGGAGGGAGAGAGAGTTGGTTTATTTCAGGAAGGGAAGGAGTCTCGCTGTCGGTCAAGTCAATGACCGGTATGGTGTCGGTCTTAAATAATTCCTGACAGGCTGCCTCAGTTAGGAAGGTCCCTGTCTGGAATTTTTTGATGACCGGAATTCCTAACCGGTGCAAAGTCTCGATTTTCTCTCGTTTCCGACGTCCCACCCGATGTTTGCGCTTGACCATTATTGGTCAAGAAAATCCCTAAGTCGCGGAACCTTTGGGTGTGACCTGCCAAAACCGTCTTTTGATAAACAATAGCACTTACTACTTGTTGAAAAAATATTGTTGTCCTAATTGGTCGCCACCTCGTTTCACCAAATAGCGAGGAAGGTTGAAATCCTTTGACCCTCAGGCTGCAAATCCCTCGGGCTGTGAATCTGCGCTGTCTCGAGTTATCCCAATAATCCAGAAAGGTGGGTGTTCTCGCGAATAATTGTGACACAGTTTTAACAGTAACAATAAATAAAATGTATTTAATAATTAATCAACACCACAATCACCACTTTACACACAACGAACTTAACAGTTGCCACTATCGTGGTCTTACATCATCTCACTTAATAGTAAAAATCTAATCATTCGGTAAAAACTTTACGCAACTTGTCAATCACGGCTTTACAAGACTCAAATAATTATCACGCGTTTACCGCGGCTCTCGGAAAGATTTTTTCTTTGTTATACTATCTATGTGTTGAACGACCGTCTCATTCAACGTTTGATCAAAGACTTTTTCTTTGTTACGCGTTCTTACGCGGAGCGATCCTTCCGTGTTGGAAGTCTAAATCTAACTCACGAACATCTCCATCTTCATTTTTCTCCTATACTCCGTATTTGTCCGATATTACTCTCTCCGGATTTCTTCCGTCCTGGAAAGTTTCCCTGTGCATCAACACAGCTTGATTACCTTTGATGTGATATCCTTGTTCTATCGAATATCTCTGATTCGGCCTCAATCTATTTTTAACTCGGAATTCTTGACATCTGCTCGCTCTGTTTTCGTCGTAAGCGACAGTTTGCCAATCCTGTTGTGAACCCGTATTTTTCGTCTTCCGCCTTGAATTGTTGTACCGGACTGGAATTACTCGTTTGTTATTATCGTCTCGTTTTCCTCTAATCATATTAATCTGTTTTTCATTTTGCTCTGGAAACCTGTTAGATTTTACTTTGCCAAATTTCTTATTAACTGATAATATTTTATTCAGTTTCTCAATAGCTCTTGCTTTGAGATTCTTTCTGTAATTGTCATCTCGATAATTAAAAAGATGTTTATCCAGGCCTGTTTGTTTCTTGAAATTCTTCGTCTCGTTGAAACTATTCTTCTCTTGAGATGTGTAACTTCTTCGCGTTCGGCGTATCGACAGTTCTCTTCTATCGTCTCGTAATTTATTCGAAGCGAAAATAATTCTGCTCTTCTGCTGGGAGTTAGGATCTGCGATCACTCGTTGTCTCTTGTTCAATGGAATTTGATTTTTAATCTTCCTTTCTTTGGCCTGTTTTATTTGTCTTCTGGCGTTATCGCGCATCTTGAAATATTCCTTACGTTTTTCGCGCATTCTATCGAATTTCTCACGCTTATTTTTCTCGGTATCTTTACGATCCTTGTCATTTTCTCGTTTAATCGCGTTTATGCTACGCTTATCGCTCGCATCTAATCGGTCTTTAATTACAGCTAAGTGAGTACGTATCTCTTTTCTGGAATTCACGCTCATATCGCGACTTGTCGATGGTGATACCGGATTTACTCGCGGTTTGTATGTCTCTCGCGCGCGGTTTATGTCGAACGGAATTTCAGCTATTCTAATGCCTGTATCGCGCTTAACTTTATCGTTATTATTTTTAATCTTATCGTTATTATTTTTCAGACCGATAACTCTCAAAAGATTTTCATCTTTGAAATTACTATTGTAAAATATCATCGAGTCGATATAATTGTAGTACGAACAATATTTTATTTTACCCGAATTACCGAACTTTACGTTTTTATGTTTTCCTCGCGGGATTTTTTCCGTATGATCATTCACGGTTTTTGTCTTATTGACCTGGTCATGGGATTTAACTGCGTACGTCTCGTTCAATCGAGAACTTTGACTCATCTTCGCGTCGCTATTGCTAACTTTACGCGGAATCTTGTTCGTCGTATCTTTAAATTTCAATTTTAACAATCGCTAAACGAGGGTTTTTCACGTTTTTTCGCATCATCGCTACTAGAACTTTCGAATTTTACATTACTCTGTCGCGGTACGCGAAGAGCATTCAACTCATCGTCGTTGGAATCTGACGATCTTTTTTGTTCAATCGCTTTTATTTATGAAATTCTCGGTTTTCTCGCGGTCTTGTTATCTTTATCTTTACTCATCGACGCGTTATCACAGCTCTTATCGCGCTTATCGTGTCTTGGCGCTCGCGTACTGTTATCCTCGATAATTTCCTGCTGTTAACCATAGGATAATTTGCGATGGTAATTAGGAGGTAGGTTTTGAGGAATTTCCACAATTTTCATGCCATTTTGTTTAGTAACACGAGGATTATTCCTATTCGCGTTCTGTCTGACATAATCATTTTTACCCGTATTTTTATAAAACGGTTTTCGCGCGTTCACGTTGTAATTATCGTTACGTAATTGCCACGCTGTCGATTTAGGTGTATTACTCATTCGCCAATTTTTCGTCTGACTTTCTCGGTTATTAGCCGATTATACATTAACGACACCTTTATTAGTCTTATTCGTGTTAAATTTATTTTGGACTTTCTTCCTCCGCGATGCAAACCTTTTGTCATTCTCCAAAACTTCGAGAAATCTTACAAAATCGTTAGTCGTTTTGAACGCTGCGATTCTTAATTCTTTATAAATATCATCGTCAAAATGATTCTTGAGTACTCTGATTATATCTTCGTCCCTCATTTGACTGTCGAGCGTCTTCGCGTTGAACGCTTGCTCTTGGGCGTACTCAGATATCGATAATCTTTTATCCGGGCTATATCTTCCGAAATATAAATTTTCGCGGAATTTTTTCTGACTGTCGTGACCCCAGTATTTTTGTAAAAATAATTCTTTGATCTTTAAATATTCGAATTCGTCTTGCAGGTTTACCCACGAATTCGCGGTTCCTACAAGTGCTCGATCAAAGTAATAATACTTGTCAACGTCGCTAATTTTTTCAAACGACGCTATCTTCTCGAAACGTTTGAGAAAACGTACCGGGTTCTGTTTATCGGATTGATGTCACACCCTTGAATGGATTTTTCGAAATGCAAACACGCGGTATCTCGATTCTCGTCAACGCGTGATTTTCCGCGCTGCGGTCGGTAAGAGTGAGAACGGTCGCGTTATCTTCCCCCGTGGTATTTTTGTTCGCGGTTGGAATCTTCGCTTTGTCGACCGACTTCTCTTCCGATTTCATACTTCCGTTTACGCGATTCATTATTCTATTCTCGAATTCGCGCATTCTTTCCGTCATTAATTTTACAAACTCGAACAAATCATTCAACGTGACGTTACTCGCATTCGCGTCACTCGCTACGTCTCGCTTGACGTGCTCGCGGACTTGCGTTAATTTTTTCGGTGGGGTTCGCGGTAATTGTCTTCCCGGCGTAATCGGTAATGAATCGTCACCGATTTCATACGAATCGCTTATGCCGTATTGCGTCCCTTGTCGCGTAGTCTTGGGTATCGTACCCTTGTCTGTGCCCTTGTCCATTGCGTATGGCGACTGTGTCTAACACTTTTAATGTTAAGAAAATTTGCGCAGGACTCACGTACTGGCTAATGCCAATTTACTTTTCACAAAGCAGAAATATAAATTTTCAAAATTAAATCACATTTGCGATAACAGCGAGTCTTACGAACAAAAACATTTCTTGGAATCGTTTGCGATAACAGCGAGTCTTACGAACAAAAACAATTCTTAGAATTGTTTGACCTGTCGCGACAGGTTCTCCCCCACTCTCTTCCCCCCCCCTCTCTTCAATTACAGAAGGTACAATTTAATACACCATTTACGCAGTCATTCTCGCTACGCTCGTTTGCGCGAACGGATCATGTTCGGCTTCTACTCCGAGATGGGCAGCCCTCAGAAGGAATCGTAAGTTTTTTACTCTTTTATTTTTTTTAATTTTCCTACATCAAATATATAATTACGTACGTACGCAGGACGAAGCGTCGCGCGGTGCGCATTCTGAGTCGACGTTACGACCTGACCGCAACGGGCTACAAGTTTCTCGAGATCGGTATCAACGTCGGTCCACCGAGCTACGTGGAGATCGTTCTGGGCGATCATCACGGACGCGAACTGTCCATGTCCCTCGAGACGTGGAAGGGACTCTACGAGCAGCGACTGAACATCTATAATTTGCTGCGCAACGAGTACAAGGACAATTTCATAACCGTCGAACCGATCACGGCAACGATCTACGCGCACACCGATCTTACGCTCGTACGACTTGAATCCCCGACCGTACACGTCAGTAGATGTATAGCACCGATTCGACTCCGGGAGCAATGAGGGGGGTGCCGCCGGGTCGCCGCCGCCGCCGCCGCGCGGTCCCCTCGCCCTGGGGCCTTATCGCGCCGTTCCCCCGCTGCCCCCCCTCGCCCTGGGGCCGACGAGCCGTCCCCCTCGGGATATTACAAAAGGCCGCCGGCCTTATCGCGCCCGGGATATTACAAAAGTCCGATGCATGCGATGACGTCATCGGGCGACGACAGGTTAGCACAAGGATTAAAATAAAATAAATGACACATACTTGCATCGGCGGTACAGTGGTGACCCTTCCTCCCCCGATTGACCTATTGCCCATGCAGGTGGGCGAGGAGTAGGAGGAAATCCTCCACTTCACCCACCTGCATATGGTGGACAGGGTCAACCGGGGGAGCCTCGTACAGGATGACGACGTCGTCGTTGTCGTCCTCGGCGTCGTCCTCCACGATGAGTACATCGTTGTCCTCGGCGCCACCGCCGCCGTCCTCCACGACGACGACATCGTCATCCTCGGCACCGTCGCC